TTTTTTTTTTTTTTTTTTTTTTTTTTTACACACCATTTAGAAAAGAAGCAAATCCACCACTTACCAGAGTCTCTGTCACGTTCTCATTTGATTGCACTGTAAATGCAGCAGCATCCTACCTATAGAAAATAAAAACAACACAGCAACAATATTTGGCATGGGATGTATCCAACAAAGACCTGATTTTTTATGGCTTACTCAGGCATAACCATCAATAGCTAAGCTGGGATGGAAAATGGACAATCTAAATAGGCATGATATCAATATTAAAGACCTTCCTTTTTCAAAAGTGTTCCACGACTCTAAAATGTTTCAAGTTGTTCAAACAGGTGAGGAATCCTTCGCTGAATAGAAGTGAATTGCAAGGACTTTGCTTCAGGCACACTGCACGTCTGAACAGCGAATGCCAGAAGTTTATTTTGCCAGACTGCACTGCACAGGGAGTGCAGAGCTCAGAGTTCCTTACACATCCTCTGGACTCTGGGCTTTTATTTGCACAGCACACACTGCTAAGGAATTAGAGATGTGAAGCTTTGCATGCATTAATTAGAGAAAGTGGTGGCAGCTTTGTATTTTGGCCCTTCCTTCTGAATACTTTACTAACGTAAAAGGCCTGGAGCAAAATTAATAAGCACTGAAAGACTCGTTTTCAGCCTTGCCGATGTCCAGCTTTTTTGTGTGCATATCTAAACAGTGGTGTGCAGAGCAGGTAAGCAAGCCTCTGAAAGGTGCTGGAATTTAAGAAGGCTCCAGATTATCTGCATTATCACTTGGGATGGGGGCCCTGGGGTTTGAGAGCGTAAGCGTGCACTGCACTACTGCAGTGCCTCATGCAAATCCTCAGCATTATCACAGCAGTAAATAAACAACTCAGATTTAACTCCCAGACTAAAACATATGTTAGGTGAAAACAACATTGCAGAAACAAATAAAGCTCATTTCATGTAGAAATGCATAAATAGAGTCACTGAACAGGTGCGAAAGCTGTGAGGAAGCCATGCTTCACAGGCTTTTGAGATTGTTAGAAAAATCCAAAAAAGAGAGCAAGAAAAATACTAATCCAGTTCTTTCACATGGAAAATAAGAAGACAGTCCTGCTAAGCTAGTGGGAGTTTTCCAATTAAATTCAGCTAGGCCAAGAGCACCAAGAATATTAGCAGCCTTCTACGAACACCCAGGAAGACTTTCTGAGGCAGACAAGTTCAGGATTCGTGCCAGCAGGACATTATTGTGCAGCTGGTCTGCAGAGCAGAGTTTTCAAAACTGTGCAGCCAGTCTTAATCTCTTCCGTTTGCGCCGCCCCGTCCTTACCCGGCGGAGGGCACGGGGTGGCTTACCGGAGCTGCAGAAACGACCGCGGGCAGAAGCACCGAGAAACGAACGGGAAACGTTTAATCGACGAACGCACAGAGCATCAAACAGAGAGACGACCGCGTTCCCAACCGGCTCCCGTCCGAACGGCGACTGCGGAGGACGGCTCGGTGCCGACGGGGGACGGACGGGCCCCCGCGCCGCCTTCCCCTGAAAGCCCGGCGTCCCCAAGGCACAGGGGGGCGGCAGCGGCGGGGACGCGGGGCGGCAGAGCGCCGCTTTCCCCGCACGGGGCCCCACGGCCCCGCCAGCACCATCGCGGCGGCTCCGAGACCACCATTGGGGGAGAGCCCGCGCTCAGCCCCGCCGCCTCCGCGCCGCCATTGGTCGGGGTCCTTTCGTTCCGCGGTCGCGCCGTCGTTGCGTCATCACTGCGCGTGCCCCAGATGGCCCCAGCCGGGCTGCCCGCGGCGATGCCTGTCGCCGCGCGCCCACTCCACTTCCGGGGCTCTGGGGCAGTCGGGCCCCGGGAGGAGGAGGGCGGGGACGCGAGGGACCGCGGCGAGGTCGAGCCCGCGCTGCCCCGCTCCGTGCGGTCCTTCCTGGAGAGCGGCGAGCATGGGCCGCATCCGTGCCTCCAGGAAAGCGCTGAGGAATGCAGCCTTGTCTCCTCTTGCTTCAGGTGCTCGTGCTCACGTATTGGTTCAGGCTGTGACTTGGGAATCCCACTGCAAGTCACAGTAACTCAGCAATTGCGGCGGGCGATGTGATAATAGCTTCTTGGAAACAGTCGTGATATTCCCTCCTATTCTAATTGTAATACCAGGATAATCTACGCCTGACCTGGTACAAGGCCTTTCTTGCATTTTCTTCCACCTCTTTCCCTGTGGTCCAACAGCCAATGATTTTATGTAGAAGAGAAACTTCTCAAAAAAAACAGGACGGTTCTTCTCCCGGATGCATATCCTGGGGATGGTTTAAGGTCAGAACGCTGAGGGGAGGCAGCCATTCCTCTGCTGCTCTTTACCCCTTCCCTACAAGTAGCCCAGCTGCAGTGTCTTGCTCCCAGCACCTCCCAAAAACCCCTTCTATTACCACCAGGGATCTAAAGGAGAGCGAGTTGGAAGGAAAAAGCCTCCTCTCTGGCCTCACACTTACCTACACCTTTCACATGCTGCAAAATCGTGGGCTTTGCTCTGCTCTGTGTGTCACTGGAAGAGAGCACCGCATTGGAAAATGAGGATCTCAGGGTGCCAGGGCTCTGAGGAATGTGGCCACCCCATCTGTCAGAGTCAGGGGGTCTTGGGAGAGTCCCCATC